GCTGAATCTGGGGACAGTGAGTGAGAATGGCAGAGCGGGAGGGGCGGAGCCTGGCCACACCTGCGCACACAGATCGGTGCCTGTCAGACCTTGCTCACTGCCCAAACAGGGGAACCTGCTGTTAACATTCCTGCAACTTACATTTCTCTTTAACATGAATCTCTTCCCCTCGGTCTGTGTTACTTATTGCCATTACCTCTTCTTTTCAGTAACATATATCCATTTTTTCTGTGCAAATTTGCCCCTGGAAAGCAGATAAGACCTGTATCCTGTGAAAAGAACTCCCCTTAATTCTAAGCCAAAACTCCTCAGTGATCACTTCTGGATGGCCACTCAGATTAACACAGAGCAAAAGCTGTGATTATCAGCTCCCAAAGAAAGCCAGTTGCCTAGAATAATCAAAGCTCATTATGGACATTCACAGCATCTGTTAGATACTTGTAAGCGATGTTAACATTAATGAAAAGGGGGGGGGGGAGCAAGAGCCTGAGAAAGGCTCTCAGTGCTCATCTATCCTGCAATCTCCCTAAAAGTATTCTTTCTCTCTCAGTGGTTATAGTTACACTTCCCTAGTTATTTAAATATTTTTAAAATAGATTTCAGAGAGGGAGGGACAGTTAGAAACATCAATAATGATAGGTAATCATTGATCAGCTGCCTCCTGCGTGTCTCCCACTGAGGATCAAGTCTGCAACCCAGGCATGGGCACTGCCCGGGGATCGAACCATGAGCTCCTGGTTCATAGGTTGATGCTCAGCCATTGAACCACGCCAGTGGGGCTCCCTTAGTTCGTTAAAAATCCAAAAGTAAATGGCGAACTATGACCCGAAGGGGCCATGTGGGAGACTCCTATAGAATTAGCTCCAGCATCGCTGCCCAGGCAATCGTGGAGGCTCTGGTCCCTGTTTTCCTTCCTTCAGCACAACCACACAGAGCTGCATAAATGAGCTGGTGGCCTCGGGGAATCAGTATCTGCACTTAACAAGATCCCCAGTTGATTCAGGCACTTCAAAGCTTGAAAAGCCCTGCTCAGACCAAAGCTCAGGCCGCCATTTGGCATTGGACAGCTGGTGGCTACCTGATGGGCAAATCCCAGGTGGGAATGGCCACCCCGCAATGGCAGCAAGAGAGCCAAGGTGGGGACTTCTGGGCTGAACTAGTGGGATGGATTAACTGCCTCATTGAAAGGCTTCCCCCAACAAGGGGGCTTGCTGGCCCTGCTTGTTCCAATTCTGTACAAGGGATTTATGGCACGGCCCCTTCCAGGATGCAATACTTCTAAGTGATGTTAACATTAAAAAAAAAAAAAAAAAAGAAAGAAAGAAAGAAAGAAAGAAAGAAAGAAAGAAAGAAAGAAAGAAAAGAAAAGAAAAGAAAAAGAAAAAAGAAAGAAAAGCAACAACTGCATGCACGTCTCTCCAGGAGTGTAAACGCTGACTAATGTTTCATCAGCGTTGTCTAATTTCTAAGTAGTCTTCCTTCCCAGCTTCTCTTTGGCATTGATGCTTATCATTTGAATCACTTGAGATGACCATGCTGGGGAGAGCCTTTCTCAGGCTCTCGCGCTGGGGGAACACCGCTGGCCAGCAAGCACTGGGTGATGGCACCAGTGGAAGGGCTTACAGAGGCTCCTTTGCCCAATTTTGGTCAATTTAAGAAATTACTGTGACCTTTTCAGGGAAAGTGAAGCTTTCTTGGTGATGAGATAAAGATAGGAAAACAGCCCTAGCTGGTTTGGTACAGTGGATAGAGCGTCGGCCTGCAGACTAAAGGGTTCTAAGTTCGATTCCTGGTCAGGGCACATGCCCAGTTGCAGGCTCTATCCTTGGTGTGGGGCATGCAGGAAGCAGCTGATCAATGATTCTCTCTCATTGATGTTTCTCTCTCTCTCCCTCTCTCCCTTCCTCTCCGACATCAATAGAAATATATCTTCAAAAATATGAAAATACCACACAACACTGCAAACCCCACAGATACTGCTCTAGAAAAGCCGCTTATGTAACAGGAAGAGATTTCCATGCAAAATAACACCATTGGTTGAGCGGGGACACCGGGTTTTAGGTGTCTTGCCTATGTTTGCTGACTTCATGCCAGTGGCCACCTGTGACCTGTAGGTACAGTAATTATCTCCATTTTACAGAAGAGGAAACTGAGGCAGAGCAAGATCCAGTGACCAGCCCAAAGCTTCGCCCTGTCAGTGGTGGAGCTGGAATTTGAACCGCTCTTCATCACTCTGCTCTCATTTGGGGCAGAAACACGGTTAAGGTCGGGAACACTATCACCATCCGAGGAGGAGGGCTAAGGAGGAGATGGCTAGGAGGTCCCTGGCCGCACTGCCTGTTCCCTTGAGCCCCAAACACACACGGGGACTCGCAGCCCTGGGCTAGCCCTGGAGCCCAGTTCCCAGCAAACAGGGAAATTAACCAGTTTGCACAGAATGAGACATGGGCATGGACGGTGCCTGCAGCTGTCGGTTAACACCAGCGGTAAGAGGATCAACGCCCCCGTCTGTCCGCTGGCTTCACAGGGGATTGGGGTGAGGCGTGCGCATTCCCATTTACCCATTCACGTTGGTTAATTTGGACGATAGGGGTTCTGGTTTAATCCCTTTGTGTGCCAGTGAATACACAGAAACGGACAACCCCGGAGCGGGCACCCGGGCGTGCGGGCAGAGCAACCTGCGGAAGGGTGCGGTGTGTCCGGCCTGGCACCGAGTAGAAAAGAAACTGCGCCAGGAGACTGAAAGCCAGACCGAGAGGGCACCCTGGGGTGCGGACTGGGCCCAGCACCTCCAGGGCGGAGGCAGGCAGGCAGGATGCTCGCTGGCCCAGCGGCCCCCATGGCACCGGAGTGGCCACTGCGCTCTGGGAGCTCCCCCATTCCCAGGGGAGAGCAGGGCTTCCCCCAATCCAGACTCTGCAAAGAACTGACGACGCTCAGGGGAGAGCCTGGGCCTGGCCCTCCGTCAGCAGCAGAGAGGATTGAAGGGGAGGTGGAGAGCAGAAAAGCAGGGGGAAATGTCTACGGAGACATCTGGTTTCTCAAATGGAAGCGATTAGAAAGACGCGAGAGCTCCCAGGCTCCAAGGCAGGTCATGAAACCAAAGCCATTTTCATAGCTTCCATCTGCAAGAAAGCCCCCCCCGTACCCCCCACACCCCCACACAACACACACACTCACTGCAAGCTGGGAGCCCCCAGAATGCGGGTCCGAGGCAGCAGCCTGGGAGCCAGCCCTGCCGGCGGGGACCAGTCCGGCCCCTGGCGGAGGATCCAGGCAGCGGCGGCAGAGGCGGAGGCGCAGCCAGAGAGCCTCCCCCTCCCTCCCCTTGGGCCTCCCCGGCTCCTGTCGGTGCCTCCCTCCCTCCGCCCCCCTCCCCATGTAGGCGCTCTCTAAAGCCATAAAAAAGAGATCAACTTCTCCACGTCCGCGGGGCCCTTTGCGGTGACAAATATTGATGCCCAAAGTGTCTGCGCTCCGCGGCCCTCAAACGCTCAGAAGAGGCGCCCGCGCAAGGGGGACATAAAAAGTGAACAATGCTGCGAAAATATGTTTGCAGAACATAGACAATCGTTGGATTAGACGTATTCAAGTATGAAATAATGCCTTTTTGTGTCAAAAACGTGGGCGAGGGGCGGGCACAAAAGTTTCCCTGTGGCAGCCCCCCGGCTCACAAAGGGAGCCGTGCGCTCCGGCGTCTCCACTTGGGCGCATGGCTCAGAGCCCTGGGAGCGCGATTGTTTCTCCCTTTCTAATGACATTTACCGGATCAAAACACGCTGTTAATTCGATCAGAAGGCTTCGCCCTCCCTGACAAAGCCGCAACCATGTCTCCTCAAGTTTGTTAAATTGACCAAAATTAGGCAAATGAATAGAGGGGTCTGCGGGCGCCCCCGCTCGCAGGTGACGTCGCATAATGCTCGCGCGGGCCAGCTGCGTGCCCCCTTTTCTTCTCGGCCTCCTCCCCGGCTCTGGGCTGCCCCCCAATCCTCCCCCCACCCCCCTCCCACGGCACACACAGGCCCGCCCGCCCGCCTCTCCTCCCCCGCCCTCGGGCATTATTAAAATGGAGCCCGATGGAAACCATTCACACTTTTCAATGGACATTTTCGTACAGGATAAGAGGCTACAAATTGAGCCTGTTCCTCTCCCTCCCCCGGGCCCCCATCCCCGCGAAGAGGGGAGAAAAGAAAGCGGGGGCCGGGGCCGGGGAGCAGGGGCGCGCCGCGTGCCAGAGGCGGACCGGACGGGAGGGGCGGCGGCGCCCGGGCCTCGTGTGCCAGCCGCGGCCACACCTGCCGGGGCGTCCGGGCGAATAAAGCGGCGTCCACAGAAAGGGGGGAGACGGGCGTGTCACCGAGTCGTGTGAGAAAAGCCTGGGAACAAACGGGGCGCCTCCGTCTCCAGGGGCTCCGCCTGGAGCCCAGCGGAACAGCCTATTAAAGGCTTACTTAATTACTCTAATGGCTCTGGACAGGCTTCACGGCGCGCCGGGATGTGCAAACAGGCCGTGGTGCGAGCCCCGGCGGCGGGACGGATGGAGGGGCGCCGTTGTGTGCGGGTCCTCACCCCCCGGCTGCGCCCCTGCGCCCCGCGCCCCTGGCCACCGGCGCTCACCAGCCGCCGCCTCCTTTTCCAGCCGCGCTGCTGCCTTGCTAATGCCCTCCCCGCCAATCACGTGTCCTTGGGAGGGCCACGTGGATTAACAAAGCTGATCCACCCCCAGCTGGCCCCCCCTCGGCTGCTAATTTTTTTTTTTTTCTTAACTTCTTTAAAACTGATCTTGAATGCATACATCCCTCCGACGCAGCTCCCTAATCCTGTGGCATCATTCAGCCCGTGAATGCGCCTGGAGCCCGGAGGGCCACCTTATAAGCAGCCCCTCGGGGCGGGGAGCGGCAGTCCACCTGGGCCCCGGAGAGGCGGAGAGGCGGAGAGTGGGGAGAGTGGGGAGAGTGGCCGGTGCGCCCCGCCTGCCTCTGCGGAGCGCGCTCCCCAGGATGTCTCACCAGCTCAAGGAGCGCAGAGTGAGTGGCTGCGGCTGAGGCTCCTGCGCTCAGATGCCGGGCACTGACTCCCCCGCGGCCACTAGCTGGGCAGAGGGCAGAGATGGCCACCCGGCTGGGCGGAGGGCAGGGACGGCCACCCGGCTGGACGGAGGACAGGGACCAGACCATGCGTGACCTCTCCTGGAGAGAAATTCTGAGTGGTCTGGGGAGGGGATGAGGATGGAGGGAAGAGCCCAGGCCTAGTGGCCACCTTCCCACAGCCTTGGCCCTCAGCTCGGGGTGCAGCCCGGCGAGCAGGGAGACTGGAAGGGAATGCCCACACAGGTGCGGGACGAGGGCAGAGCTCGTTCCATCCCAGTGTGAGAGGCAGGGACCCCGCCCGGGGCAGGGCGAGTTCCTGGGCAGCAGGGGAGCTGGGCAGACGGTGGTCAGGGGGTTGCCATAGGATTCCCACTCCCTGGGTAAAGCCATCGGAGATTCACAAACTTCTGTTCGCAGAGAACCCGAGTTTCGCACAAAGTGATCGAAAAGCGGAGGAGGGACCGCATTAACCGCTGTTTGAACGAGCTGGGCAAGACGGTGCCCATGGCCCTGGCGAAGCAGGTAACGTATGGCACTGAGCAGGTGCCAGATGCCGGGACCCTCTGCGCCCGCCCGACACCTGATGCCGGGGTCGGGGGACAGAGGGGGCCTGTTCGGGAGCCTCCCTCCGCGCCCTCTCAGTCCTCTCCGGAGCGACCCGCGCCGTCGGGCCGGCCTGCGCCTGCCTGCGGTGAGGACCCCTCTCCCCTGCAGACCTCCGGGAAGCTGGAGAAGGCGGAGATCCTGGAGATGACCGTCCAGTACCTGCGGGCGCTGCACTCGGCGGACTTTCCCCGGGGAAGGGAGAAAGGTGGGCATGGCTGGGCAGAGCCAGGCCTGGCAGGGAGCGCGCCACACGCACCCGGGGAGGCGGGAGGAGTAAGAGGGCGCAGCAGCGGAGCGGCGGGTCCTGCAGAAGCTCGCGGGCAGGGCTGGAGTTTCTGGGCTGGTTGGCTTCCGTGGCCTCCTCTCAGGTGAGGAGGGGCAGAGCCGGCCTCAGGAGAAAGGCCTCCGCTGCTTCTCTTCCTTCTCCGGACTGGGGAGCGGGAGGAGGCGCACCCATGGGGACTCCAGCCAGACAGTGTGGCGGGAGGTGCCTGCGCCCGTCCGGGGCTCCCGGCAGGGAAGGGGCCGCTCAGTGTCCCTCCCGCCTGTGACCTCCCCGCCCCTCCGGCAGAACTGCTGGCCGAGTTTGCCAACTACTTCCACTACGGCTACCGCGAGTGCATGCGGAACCTGGTGCACTACCTCACCACGGTGGAGCGCCTGGAGGCCCGGGACACGGAGTACGCGCGCATCCTCGGCTTCCTGCAGTCCAAGGCGCGCCTGGGCGCCGCGCCCGCCCTCCCGCCGCCGGGGCCCCTCCCGGAGCCCGATCTCTCCTGCCCGCTGCACCCCGCGGGGCCCGAGCTCGGGGGCCACAGCCCCGGGGAGGCCGCCGCGTTCCCGCAGGGGGCGCCCCCCGCGCCCCTCCCCTGGCCGCCCTACCTGCCCGGCGCGCCCGCGGCGCTGCCCAGCCCCCCGCAGCCGCACAGCCCCTTCCTGGCGCCAGGGCAGGGCCTGGACCGCCACTACCTCAGCCTGATCGGCCACTCGCACCCCAACGGCCTCAGCCTGCACCCGCCCCAGCACCCCCAGGCTCTCTGACAGCCGCCGCCCTTTCCCTGGGCCCGGGCTGCGCTGCTCAGGAGATGCCACATGTTGTACAGATGTATATAGGGCGCCAGCAAAAAGGGGATGGGGAAGGCCAAGGGCAAACAAGTCTTCTGAAGATCTCTCGGCAATAAACGTTTTCTGTTAAAGACCCACAGAGATGGATCTCTTTATCTTCTGCTCCTCCACAATCCCACCCTCGGAGGTGGGACTTCCAGGGGCCAAGGCGACGGCCCTCGGCCCTCGGTGATTTGGGGGGTCGGGAGGAGGGTGTTAAGTGGAGGTGTCGCTCGGGGACTGGATTTTGAGGCTCCCCTGAGGCTGCAGACAGCTCCCACCCCACATGTATCCTGGGCATTTGCTTAGGAGAAGGGCAGACACAGTAACAGGGTTCTGGGTTCTCAGATAATGCAAGTCCAAGGACTCTCCCCGAACTGGCTTTGGGGGACTGGCCCCAGCTCACACTGGCTGCCCTTCCTATCCCACGACAAGGCCCCGGATGTAGGCACCCGCTGGTCCGGAGAGTGGTGACACCCAGGCCCACGACGAGATTTACAGCCGTAACCTCTGAATATATGTAACTTCCGAGTATGGCTTTAAAGCAATATCCGAGGGAGATTTTTGTTTCGTTGTTTTAAGTCCTGCTCCGGAGGGCTTAGGGAAGCTGGCATTGCCTTTTACGCACAGAGGGCTCGCTTCCAGGGAGCTGGGCATTGGGGGGCGGAGGGGAGAGAGAGGCCAGCACTGCTAGGCTGGGAGCTGAGCTCCCCAGGGCTGTCCCCTCTGCACACACCCCCATGGGGATCCCCCCTCTGTGCCAGGGCCTGGGGCTCAGATTCTCAGGCCTGTAAGCAAAGGTTTCCCCTCCTCCTCCATCAGCTAGAGTTGTGTTTGTGGGGGGTTAAATGTTTCCCTGTTATTGATCCTTTTCTTTGTTCCATCTTTTCTTTTTGTCCCCGTTAGCTTTAATGGCAATTACGTAAAGAATTCGAAATGATGTAGCAGGTTTTCCTGTGTCCAGGGGCCATGTAGCTCCACTGGGATGGTCCGTCTCCTCCCAGATTAGCTGGAGGACGATAATTAGCTTATTCCGTCTCTGTGGACAGGGCTTAAGGGAGCTCTGACCTGCGCTGTTTACTGAGGTCATGGAAGAGGATGACCTGCAATTTGTAAACCATCAACCTTGACTATGCAGAGGCAGGACCAAACAAACCGCCTCTTACATCCTGATGCCCATTCACTGAAACCTAAGTGTGTATGTGTTGTTGTTGTTTTTGTAGGGGGCGGGGCGGGGAAATTATAAACTTTAGAAAAGGTCTTATAAGTGGTTCTTGTCCTTCCATGCACTCCATGTCGCTGCAGCACTTCCCTAAAAACTGGGGTGTGCAAACCAATATCTCTTCCTTCGTGAACTGATACAGCTGAAAGTGAGTGTAAGGCCAGGAGGCCTTCTGGATAACAAATACACACAGAGCAATATGGGGCGGACACAAATCCAGCAAAATGGGAGCATGCTCAGCGCCTATTATTGGGACACATGTCTTACACCCATTTTCCTCGGCGCGGGGCACAGAATCCGAGGAGGGCCTCTCAGGCTTTTCACCTCTGAGCATTAAGCCTGTCTGAATTCCCCCGGCAGCGAAGCATTACCGATATAGTGTTACCCTGGAAATATAAATTATTAATATATTCAGCATTTTTGTCACTTCTCAACTGTTAACCAAATTAGACAAAACTTCCTTTTGCTAAGTAGATTTTCTCTCTGGGATTAGCTCTGGAAACGCACAGGCCACCACAGTAAGAAACTGGGGCCATTTACATATAATTCTGCAAACTTCCACTGGCCCATGACAGTCTTTGTACCTCCAATGTTGGTATTCTTGATTTTTTTTTTCTTTCTCATTTAACTGTGGAGGATAAAACCCTGCTTTGGATTTACAATGACTTTAGGATAAAAGTCTCCCTCCCCTTCCTTCCCCCTTCGTGTGTGTGTGTGTGTGTGTGTGTGTGTGTGTGTGTGTTGTCCTTTTCTGAAACCTTCATCCAAAGTTCCAATTCTCCAGGCTTGCCTAAAAGTCAAATGTGGAGTACTTTTACTTTGCAAAAGGTTCAAAATGTCACTACAAAATGGCCTTGATTCAAATCGGAGAGATGCTTTAACGTGTCTTTCCTGTACTTTCTCGGACAACACATTGCTTCCAGCCTTGCGGTCCCAAGCCCCCCAGCTCCTCCCCCTCCGTCTGAGTCTCTCAGGCCCAATCCCTCCACTCTTTCTTTTAAGTAAGTTGTATAGTAATGGTTTCCAAGAGAGGCTCCGCCGAACCCAGAAATAACAAAAACCGTGGCTTTGGCTGGAGGTGACCATTGTGGTGCCTCTGAAAGGGGCGCCCTCTTGCTTCTTGAGCTTCATCCTTGAGTGGGCAGGAAGAAAAATAATCGCCCCATGAAATCAAAGGTTTTCTCCAGGGGCTGGAAGAACAAAGCGGAGGGCTGGCTCTGGGTGTGTCCTGTGGCTCCGCAGAGCGAGAAGGAGGCGCTGCCAGGCACCCCAGCCGCGGGCCGAGGGCGGTAATACAGAGCTCACTTGCGCTTCCAAGCGTGTTGGACAAACACAGCGCACATATCGCATATGGTGGGGCCTCCTGTCTAGGCTGCGAGATGCCAGGCAAGGAAGGTGGAGAAGCAGGCATGTGCCTACCTGACCCCCCACAGGTACGGACTCCCAGAAACCTGGGATGGGTGTCTGCCCAGAGTAACACACCAAGAAAAGAAAGGAGATAAGGGATGTGCAGTTAGGAGCCCAATAAATAGACTTGTGCAACGGCTGAATACAGTGCCCAGTGGTGCTGGGCTTAGGATCCTGCATCTCCTGGGGGCCTCTTGTTTCTGGCCTCTGTTCCCTCCCCTCTTCCGCAGAAACTGGGAAGTACTCATGCAGCCACCCAGTCATCTGCTGAACAGTCTGCACAGTCGGAGGAGTTGTCGGAGGGAGCAGCGGCCCTGCTTCTCTCTGCAGTGTCCACCTGTGTTCTGAGCAGGAGATGACGCTTGGTCTGCACGATTAAGGGGCAGGCCCACCGAATTGGAGCCCCCAACCGTAGGATGTGAATTCAGAACTAGCCTGATGGGGGCTCAGATCCTTTCATGTGGGAAAGATCCAAGACGGGGCTGATTCTACCCTCTTTTCTGCCACCCTAGTTGTTCAGCCTGTGGCTTCTGCAGCCAGAATGCCCAGCTTTGTACCCGCTCTGCTGAGTACTAGCTGGGTGCCATGAGGCAAATTGCTGAGCCTCTTCATGTCTGTTTCAACATCCGTAACATGGAGCTATTAAAAGCACATACACCTGATAGGGTTGCTACGAGGATTAAGTGAACTGGTACATTCAAAGCACTCTAGACAGTGCTTGAGCCCCAGTGAATGTTCAATACATGTTAGCTGTTATAATTATCTATTCTTCCTCCCTTCTCCCAAAGAGTCAGATCCTTGGAGCCACCTCAAACTGAAAATCAAAATTCGAAAGCAAATCATGAAAAAATTTTAAACCTCAGGGCTTGTTCTTACACCCCCAAGGCAAGTGGGGGTTGGGAACTCCTTCTTCATCCTCCACCCAGGTCAACTCATCCTTCAAGTGATGGCTGGCCGTCAGAGCCCCTCTGAACTGTGGAAGGCTCTCTCCCCACTCTTTCTCATACAGGAACCTGGCCTCATGTTATCTGGCACTAGCTCATACACCTGCACTCCTACATTCTCTCTCTGGGCACATATTCCAATGCCTATTCACACACAAATCTTTTTTTTTTTTTTTAATCAATCTTGATTGTTCATATTATTACAAAGGTTCCTCATTTCTTCCCCCCTCCACCAGGTTCCCACCCCACCCTCTGCCCTTTCCCCACTCCCCATTGTCCTCATCCATAGGTGCACAGTTTATGTTCAGTCTCTTCCCGCACCCACCACTCCCCTTTTCACACACAAATCTTGACCATCGCAAATTCTTTCTTGAAACACTAGAGGCCCAGTGCACAAAATTCATGCATTTGGGGAGCATGTGTCGGGGGGAGATCCCTCAGCCCGGATTGAGAGAAGGTGCAGGCCAGGCCGAGGGACCCCCACCAGTGCACAATTGGGGCCATGGGAGGTTGGCCAGCTGGGGAGGGACCACAGGAGGACTCCAGAGTGAGTCTGGCCCATCTCGCTCAGTCCTGATTGGCCAGACCCCAGCAGCAAGGTAATCTACCAGTTGGAGTATCTGCCCGCTGGTGGTCAGTGTATTCATAGTGACTGGTCAGCTGGTCGACTGGTCAACTGTCTGCCCCCTGGTGGTCAGTGCACATCACAGAAAGCAGTTGAGCTGCCTTAGCATAGTATGCTTTGATTGGCTGGACGACTGACCAGATGACCAAACATTCAGCATATTAGGCTTTTATTCTATAGGATGGAGTAAAGGAACTAATTCAATATTTACTAATGATACTTCCTATGGCAGCTGCATGCTCTTTTCAGCTTTCTCTCAATTTCCCCCACTTGGGTCCTTTTTATCTATTCCCTTCAGCAGCTGGCTGCTCCCCTCTGGGCTCTGGACCCAATTCTTGGTGAGGGTGAAACTCGTCTGCAGAAGTCCAGGTCCAGAGCCTGTCCCCTAAGTCTCACTCCCTTTCCACTTGGCCTTCAGCTCTGATTCTAACTCATTTTCTGATTGCTCAGTTCCAGACACCTGATTCCCCATGTACCTGGGGCCTGGTGTAGGGATTTATCCATGTAGTTATATGTGTCCCATGTGGACAGAGATCACTACAGCAATAACTCTTAGTGTCTCTCAGCAGCCCTCCTCTATTCCTCAGCTACCTGACTGGGGTGTTCAGAAGGCAGACCCAGGCATGCTCACCTCTGCCCCTTCCTCTCTGGGTGCGAACCTGCCCACAGGAAGCAAGCAAGAGTTCCCTCTGGGCTGCTGGGGAGATTTCCAGCTTCCTGTGCTTTTTTAAGATTGAGT